GTCTAGTGGGGGAGAGCTGAGGGCACAGAGCAGAAACAGCACAGCCCAGTTGCCAGCGCCCTACACCCAACACTGCCCTCTGCCTCCTGAGACCAATAAAAGGGGCTGGTTGAACTTTCCAGACCTTTTACTATTTTCACGTTTAACAATATTGTCCCCAGGAATTTTTCAGAAGTCAGAACAAGAAGCAAAGCCACATCTCCACAAGCTAGTGACTTGACCCAGGCTCCTGCGAGAAAACCTGGAGAGCTGCTGAACCCCATGTTAGAGCCCCCTCCAGAATCTCTGGAGGTGACACCCAAGTGCCAGATGTGTGGTGCAGGCGGGTCTTAAAGCCACAGCACCAGCCAGTGGTGGTCAAGGCGTGTTGCACGTTGGAACCCACGCCATGCTTTAGTGCACAGCCATGGCTCGGCTTCAGCCCACACCTGGGGACTCCGAAGGCCAGAGCTCTCCAGGCGATGCAGACAAAGTCAGAACTGAGAAGGGTTGCTCCAGCCAAGTATGAATTACTTCTAGTTTGCATCTTGCCTCAAATTATCAACCACGTTAAACAACCAAATTCACCTTTTTGAGTTCTGATTTTGTTCTCCCTGACACAAGGGAAGTTTTTATGGTCAAACTAAGCTCCTGATCTTACCTTGTTCATCTCCTTTTGCCTCTGCTTCACCGAGACCCACACATGGTAAATTAGTGTGTTGGACAAACACACGATACATCTTCCCGCCCCCCACTCAAAGCAGCCCAGAAGCATGTCCTACCTCCAGCTTGTCAGCCCCGAATCAGCTCCCTCGTTTTCAGGCAGACGGTGTGCCCAGATCCTGCTCATTCTCACCCTCCACACCCATGAGTCTCAAACGGTGGCCCTGAACCAGCAGCAACAGCAGCAGCAGCACCATCTCCAGGAAACTGGTTGGAAAATTCTTGAGCTGCACCCAGAACCAGAAACGCTGGGACCAGGTCTGTGCTTAACGAGCCCTCCAGGTGATGCAGAGAAGCTGCTCGATTTCCAGGACCTGGGCTCAGCTGACACCAGTAGAGACAGGGCCGTATACATGGTGGGTGGGGGAAGAAGGCACATGGGAGAACTTTGACACTCCTGGGTGCTCAGTGCGCAACAGCAAGGACTCTGGGTATCTCTTGCCTCAAGGTTAACTGATGCTGAGATGACTCACTTGGTGGGATTTTAAAAAATCAGTATTATGCAAATCTTCCTCCAAGAGAAAGCTTCTGAATGCTCATGCCATAACACACTGTGCCTGCATGGCCCCTGGGGTACCCCCACGCCCCGTTCTCCATTTCTGTCCCCATCTTTTCTCTGTGCCTGAGCAATCAGATTCTGAGAGTTGCGCAGCTTCTGGGAGGCAGCGTGCAGGCCCACCCTCTCGGACCCAGGAGCCCCAAACCAGACGAGCAATGTTCCAGGGTAACCCGTGCTTCCCATGGCGATCCCCCTTTGCTACCAATGATACCTAAGGAGAGGGGACTGGGCTGCCGGCCAGCGCCCCACTCCCCACCGACACCGCATGGAGCGTGAGGCCTGGGTGCCTGGCCCTGCCCGTCAGGCAAATGTCTCACATGGCTGGTGTAGCTGGAAGTGTCCCCTCACTGCCCAGACTACTTCATACTCTGTGTCCTAGTCCCAGGCTTTCTGGACCCTAAGTGCCCATTAGTCCACCCCCCAATCTTCATCCTGTGTACCCCGACTCTCCTGGCTGCCTAATGGCCCCAATACTAGTTGTGGTGACGGAGGGAAAGGAAGCCAGACACTGACTCCACAGCAGGTCCCAGCCCACCCCCCTGCGCCCCAGACCCCCAGGCCACAGACATTGCTCCTAGCTGCAGAGTGGCCTCGGCTGGGCAGGAAGGTCTTTCCCATGGCAGCCTAAGGCCACGTGGCCTCCTGGATGCTTATCTTGGCTCCTGGATTTCCTTCTCTCTGGCACAGCTTAATTCACTCACATATTGTGCCCATTTCAAGTGTGCAATTATGTTTCAGCAAATGCAGATTTGCGTGGCCATCCCAATTCAGCTCTGGCACATTTTCAGTGCTCTGTTGTGGTCACTTGGTGCTCCTTCATGGCAGTGGGGGTCCTGAGTCAGCAGCTTTCATGGTCTCTCAGAACTGACCCCCAGAGCCCTCAGGGTGTTGATGCCAGTGAAGACACTGCTTTGCTGCTCCAGCTCTCTCCCAGATGTGGGGCCCTACTGCAGCCTGGGTCTCGAGCCCCTGGACCACCGCCCCTGGAAACGCAGTAGGGCAGAGGCTGGAACCCAGGCCTTGCACACATCGGGTCTGCTGGACCTCTGGCCCCTGAACGCGAGCTGGCCCAAGCGTAGCTGGGGCGGAGCAGCACGATGCCTTGAGCCAGGAGTGTGCAGGTTCAAGTTTAAGTTACATACGTTTCCTGACATGCCAAAGGGCGATTATAGAGGCCCCCATTAGATTTGCAGAAAGCATGGGAAGGGTTGCCAGGCCAGGGCTTCCTCAATTACCCGCCAATGATCAGATGTACAAAAAAGGAGCTGCTACCTCTGCACCCCAGTTTTAGAACTCTCTCCACTAGGGCTTGTAGGTGCTAGTTATGATGGGGTTCACAGCGCCCACCCACCCCCCTCCCCAGCCAGATACTCAAAATAAGAAGATTGCAGGTCGAGGGGGAGGGGCAAGGACAGGTCAGGGCTGTTCTTGGGGGGGGGGGCTGAGGTGTGCACGGGTGATCACTGGGTGTGGAGGTGGAAGAAGCCCAGGAGGGCAGGAGATTGGGAAGGAAACTTGCTGATTTGCCTGACGGCCACAGCTCTTCATCTGGAGTGCCTGGGTCTTCAGAGCAGAGCCAGTCACAGATGCAGGAAATGGAACGATACAAGTAAGAGTTTAAGAGACCCAGGCCAAGCCTGACTTGACCATTTGTGCTTTCTGCCCGGCCATCTTTCCAGGTGAAGTTTGTGCCCCTGCCCCATCCAGAGCCAGCTAGATGGTTTCTGTGGGTCCTGAAGGACTTTCTGGGCACTGGCCAGGCCAGCAGGGGACAGCACGCAAAACAGGCATAGGGGCCAGCCTGGGAAGCAATGCCCCACAGCCACCCTGGCTTTCTGGGTTCCACCATGTGCAAGCCACTGCTTCTGCCACACAGAGAGAAGCCCAGGGTACCGCCGTATGACCAGCCAGTGCCCAGACCTCTCCCCCAGCCACGCTGCCGAGGACACACCTTTATAAAACCACACACACACTGGGTTTTTAATGAGAAAATAATTGTATACTTGCATCGAATGCCTCACAATCACTATAAAACCGAAGCAGGATAGTAACATTTAAGTGGTTAACATACACAGGAGAGCCAGATACAGAATATAATTTGCAAACACAGGATTGCTGTTTTTATCCCCGCTCCTCCTCCAGAAAAAAAAAAAATCATCTGGGTAAAGAGCAACACAAAATCAAAATTGGCAGCTCACTCACTGAATGCTTAAAATTCAGGAAGTTGGTTCTGTCACTAAAAATGGATATAGTCACCATCTCTAAACACTTAGGCTATTTTATTTTTTTTTCAATACATAGTTTAATTACATCCATTCTTTAGTTGGAAAAAAATGTTTGTCTTCAGAGACAAGAGTCAGCATTATTTCAGCGTTCCTTGGTACGCTACATGTGAGTGTGTGCGTGTTGTGTATATATGTGACACTGATCTATAGATACTGCTTATATGTTACTGTCAAGGGCAGGCAGCATGCATGGGTGGAGAGAGGCGAGGAAATTGCATTGCGTCATCCCAGCAGAACACAGCCCGGCCTCCTGCCACTGACAAACCCTGTTTCCATCTCTGCGTGAGAAAGCCAAGGCATGTCAGTAGTTCATCAGCTCCAGAGGAAAGTGAGCGTCTCTTAAACACTGCAGAATGAAATACTCTCAGGAAAGCTTGTAACAGCTACAGAATCTAAACTTTTGTTATAGTAGAAATTAACAAGCTCGCGTGCTATTGGAGGGTAGGGACAAAGCACCCAAGAACGTTTTTCATTAGCCTCTTCTTCTCGATTAGATTAGGCAGGAACAACTTTCCTCCTCGGATGTGTTGTGTCTTCGTTAATTCAAGGGGTTCATGTGGGGTCCCAGAGCCTAGTACGGTACTCTGTACAAAGCTGCGGTCCCAGGTTTCTCGAGGGAATAAAAATCTCGAGCGCGCACAGAAAATCTGGCTCTTCCAAGGCAACTGAAATGTACATTTTAATGGGGTGATGAGGAGTGGGGTGAGGAACAGCAGTCATTTTCCCAGAAGGCAGTGTCAGGGAACAAACAGGCAGAGGTCAGAGACGTAGAGGCCTCAGTCAAGCAGCTGTGTGACCATGCCAGGGTCATGGGACTCTTGTGTCTGTGGCCTCACCTCCACGTGGAGCCTGGACCAGAGGACCTGGGCCCCTGAGGCTATGCGGTCAGTGCTCTGGTCCAGTCAACTTGTCTGCCTCTAATGCAAGTCCTTTGAATGAATTGGTTTTTTTTTTTTTGCCTGCTAGACTTTCATTCGGCTGAGATTCTCTCTCAAAGGTAGATGTGAGATGGATATGTGGTTTCCTTCAAAACAGAACAAAAAAACTTCAGAGGAGTCCGAACAGTGTCCTCTGGTGAGACAGAGGGAGAGTTTGTCAATATCATGTCTAGGGTCTCTCCCAGGTCCACTGTCAGCGCAAAAGACCATTAGGCACGTTTGGGTTTTGTGCACCAGACTACACCACTCTGCTCTCCAGCCATCCTTGCATGCCTGAGACCACATGAGGTACCACCCGTCTGTCTGACTCTTGGAAACGAGCATCCTCAGGGTAAGCATCCCTTCTGGTCGAATCTCAGCTTTCTGATCTCTAATCTAGCACACCTCTCATCTTCCCGGGAATGTCTGTCTCCATGTTTACCTCCCGCATTGGAAAAATGAATTTCTTATGGCAGGGATCTTAATTTGCTTTATGTCCCCGTGGCCAGTCCATTTTGTTGAAGATTCGTTCAGACTACCCAAGAGAAGGAACCACACACACATGGTGCCGACTACCCGTCTGCAGAATTTGGCTTCAAATTGCAGGTTCCCTTGACAGTCTTCAAGGATCCTTGAAAGTTATCAGACAATTCCATTTTTATGTTGTGCCTACCACTTGTCTATGAATGAAAACTTCTCCGAAAGTCAGCACTAGTCAAATAAGAGCAAAGATAATGTGCATAACATTACATACAAATCTTGTGAAATTGCTACTTGTCAGAATAACATATTAGAACTTGTGACATACAATATAAAAACAAAAATGAATTTTAGTGAGGTCTGATTTGATTATTGCTTTTTAAAAACCTCTGTTTTAAAACAAAGGGGATGAATGGGAAAGGCTGGTCAGTTTTTGTTTTTTTTGAAAACAGAAAATTTTTGTCATCCAGAAATTAAGGGCACCCGATTATTGAATACCCTGGTCATATTGCTTTAAATGACAGAGTACAGCTGGTTTCTTCTAGAGTATACTAAGCATGAATATAAAGCATGAGAATAAATATGATACTTCCATAAATGTCAAATTACAAAACTGTTCAAAACTTTGCAACTGTGACTCACACAACTACCATGTTAGATCAATTTAATATCACAAATACTGCATCAGCTCAGTGCCTCTATATCCCTTTTCATAAAAAAGAAATTCTCACTTACTCCTAATGCTGGCAAACAGCTCTGGAGGAAATAACTGTACACCCTTGTCCCGTGATCATCCTGGAATTTTTATCTTCACACATATATCCTTAACCGTGAGCACATACATATCACACAAACACACAAAAACACCCACACACATGCACACTTTTACACACACACCATCTTTAGGATTTGCAGCTGATTCCAAGCCTAGATTTCTATTCTATATTTTTCTCTGTATAATCCTGAAAAACACTGGTTGCTCAACAAAAATATTATCTCTTGACTCCTTTATTCTCTCTCTTTCTCCCTTCACCTTTACCTTCATGACGTTTCCTTAATGTTTCATTTCTAACTGATCCAAAATAATCTATCATTCTTCCTACTATCTCTAAAGTCCACTTTATGGTATAAAATATAGTTATAAACACCTGTTTATTTCCTGTTCTCTCTCTAAGGCAGAGTTCGCCCTTTTTCAATTATTGCCTTTCTAAAAATACCCCCACCATCTTGAACCAAGCTGTTCAATGTGTACAGATTTTATACATGTATATATTCCCCCATCCCATCATAAAAATAGTTGTTACCCACTAAATAGTTTTCATATGAAGAAACATAACTGAAAATGTGTTCTCATAAACTGCAGATCAGTCAATATTATAAGCAGACGAGATCCTAAAGCTAAAATAATCCTTTTGGTTTGGCTTTCTCCCCCTTTCTCAACCTCCTAATGTAGAATAGATTGTGTTTGCAATATAACATATTGTCTTAAAAATGTGTACTTTATGTATTGCAATCATTAATTGCTCCCAATTAAAAACAATTCAATGTAAGAGAAATGGAGTCATAATGGCCTCTTCTGGGCAAATATAGAGAAAAACATTATTCACTTCATGGCTGCTAGAGTAAATGGAGGGAACCCAACCCCAGCGATGCTGGGTGCAGTGGGTGGGAAACGGCCCAGAGAAGTAGCCTAGGCCCAGACAGCACAGCTCAGGGCCCTGCTCTCCACAGGCCCCATCACCATTGTTCTTCCTCGTCACCCAGCAAGGCCTCAGCCCTGCCTGTCGCAGCCGTGTGGATTTGCTTGGAACGTCTTTGTCCTTTTGCATCAATTGTGGATTGGTCCAAAACCAGGCAATTCTTTTGAGTCGCCAAAAATCCCTTTCTCTTTTGACTCTTGGGAGGTAAGAGTGTGATGGGTGCACTTCTCTTTTCATTTTCTTTTTCATCACTGTGTATTGCAGCTGCTGGTCTACATAAGGATTGCTGAGTTTGTTTGCACTTTAATAAATATTCCATTAAAATGCTTGATGTGTTGATGTTTTGGTTTCTTGGTAACCCAAGCACCAAAGAAGCTTCCTGGGTGGAAGGAAGTTTATTATTCGTTGTCTTCTTCCTCCTGGTTGGCGTAGATGCCAGCCTCCCAGCGCAAGGCCAGGGCGCTCTTTCTTCGGTTCACCCGTGTGGCCTCAAGGACCTAAAATCAGAGGGAGAAAAATTAGGCAGGGTTCATAGATACTCGTTCTCTGCTTCTTTCCTCCTTCCCCTCTTTCAGCAGTATCTAATGAGAGAGGACAGTAAGTGTCTGGTAAGGCTGGGAGGTAGGTGACAGGAAAAGATGGTAGGTAGGGCGGGCGGTTCTGGGTTTGCATTCACCTCATAGCCAAGTTCATTTGCTATTTGAGCAACACTTTTCAATAAAGAGAGACTTCCTGAAATGTTCTGCCATGTTCTTGGGCTAGGCTTGACTTGCAGTAAGGTTTTAGGTAACAAAGCAGATCTCTAGGCACTAAAGAACTGGGCTGTATTTTCTCCAACTTTAGTTTGATCAAGATGAGATCCACATGAATGACATTTAGGTTGCCAGCAAATGAGAAATGGCTCCATTTCATGACAAGGCATCAAAAACAAGCCCATGCATGCCAACCAATTCAATCACTGTGACATTTGCGTGGGGTACTGCAGTTTCTGATTTGTAAAGAAAAGTCTAGTAGGACCCATATCGGCTGATTAGCCAAATTGCACCGATGCTTGGCTTCTCCTAAGAGCAATCACTTTGGCAAGGACAGCTCTGAGAAGTATGGAGGTGTAGCAGGCAGTGATGGGGGTCCGGGTGTAGGCAGGTTTTGTACGGTAAGGGTCTGGGTCCAATTATCTGCACCTCTGATATATAAGGGATTTCCCAGGGCGTCTGTGTGTTTTCTTCTGCAAAGCCTACCCCTGTCCTTTGAGCAGGCCCAGCTGGGCCGACACACAGAATGCCTCAGTCCTGATTGCTGAGGGAGTGTTCATTGCTGAGCACACAGACCATGTCACTGCATGTCTTGCGTGTGGGTATGCCATGTCACCCACTCAGTGTCTCAAATAACAAGTCTGTAGGGCAGCACTCTTGCCAGTCTGGTGCAGTCAGGGATTCTCAGGTCAACGTGTGGTAACCCAGAACTGAGAAAAAGTGCTTGGACTAGAAGTCCTGAGTTTCTCGTCCAGTTCAGTTCCTGGAATACCCTGCTGCTGTTTTTGGGACCTGTGACTCAACTTACTTTATGTATAAAATGGACAGTTTCTGGAGTACTCTGCTTTATAGGCTTTCTGAGGAGGCAGGGGGATGCTGACATTCAGGCAGGTCAAGATTTTGATCTGAATGACTATGCGACTCTGGGAAAGTGTCTGCTGCCTGCGTCTTCGTTCTCCTCTATGGGAAGTGGGAACAATAAAAACTACAGTACAGAGCAGGACATATGAGGCAACGACTCTAAGGCACTCAGCCTAGTTCTGGGTGCAGAGAAAGATCTCAGGTGACATTCATTTCAGTCCTCGTGTGAAGGGGCTTTATAAACGCGAAAGCATTATTCAAACATAGGCATTTTTTTTTAATAAGGAGAGATATTTTAGTATGGCCTTCTGCTTGCCCTGCAGGTCACAAAAACAAACAGAAAGGTCTAGAAAAAGCTGAGGTTCTAAATCAGTAAAAGGGGTCCCCATCCTTATCAGATGTCCTTGTCTTTTACGTAAGCCCTATTTTAACTGTTCATCACCCTGAACAGATTTCATTTACTCTCTCCTTCAGGAACCCAAGTTACAATTCACTTAGCCATCATCTTACAGATGTTTATGGGATTCCTACCAAGTGTCAGGCAAAATGTCAAGCAAAGAAGACTTTCTCTCCTCACAGAGCTTAGTCTCCACAAGTATGATGAGCAGAGAAACATATTTAAAATTGTGGAACATATAGCAAAACTTGAGTATGGACATCTGCTTTTCACAGCCCAAATAAGTCAATTATGCCAATCATGAACCCCCCTTTTTTAAAATTTTCGTTTCCATACTTTGTGTGATCACTTAACATAATCCTGTATTTCTGAGGAAATTTAAGGACTTAAGGAATGGCACAGCCAAGAACAAAAGTGGGTTGTTAGCAAAGTAGTCAGTGACCTTGCTGTGAAGCCGTCTGGGTTTATAAGGATATGATCTCGGACTAGTTCAGGGGTGAAGCGGTCCTGAACTGGCTTTTTGAAAATTCAAAAGCCAAGCCCCTGGGGAAAGTATATGAATGAGCAACTGTTTCATAGTTTCTTCAGAGGTAGGTGTGTGTGTGTGAGAGTGTGTGTGTGTGTGTGTGTGTGTGTGTGTGTGTGCGTGAGTCACTAGCAAATCCAAAGTTTTCTATTTCCTAAAATCCAGTCACTTTCTCTTCTGGGCCAATCCACCCCCCTCACCTTCCAAAAGAAACAACAAACAACATTGCCTCTGGGGTTCTAAGACTGACTTACTGTTTAAATCCTCACTATTATTTTATGGGCTTCCTATTATTATTGTTTCATTTCACACAGGAAGAAGCTGAAGCTCAGGGACGTTAAGTGACTCAACCAGTGGTGCTCAGTAGGAGGAAATAAAGATCTGAACCCAGAATGCTGAGCGGGGAGCTGATGCCCCAGGCCTCTGAATAACACTGGGCTACTGCTGTTCAGTGGCTGTAAGGACACTGGAGTAGCAGGGAGAGCAATAAATAAGCACTGTGCAAAGAAATGGAGAGAATCAAAAAATAGTAACAGATTTGAGCTCAAGTTTCATCACTTTCACAGACAGTCACAATTTGCAATGTACAGTAATACGAGGATGCATAGTCTCTGTAACTAGAGCTTCTACTACTGGATATGTAGAGGTAAATTCTTCCAAAGCTACACAGAGATATACCTACAATAACATTCATTAAAGTACTGCTTGTATTGTGGTGGGGGGGAGGGGAGGGGCGGATAGAGGGAACAGCCTGCCTTTCCATACTAGGAGGATGAATAAATAATGACACAGCCCAACGGAATACTATACAACCGTGATTTAGAACTAGACATATCAACATGGACACATCTAAACGGTGCAGACAGCATACAGTAAGGAACTGAGGATAATATCATATGAGACCACTTATAGGAAGCTCCAAAACATGCAAAGTCAAACTGTTTCTGTATTTATATATATAGTATAACACATGCATGGAGGGGCCCGCCCTGGGGGCGCAACGGGTTGAAGCACAGCACTATGGAGCTATCCGCAGCCACTGTAGCACAAGTTCAATCCCCAATCAGGGAGCTGACCCACATGGCGCAGCAGACCTCTCCTGGCCCACCCGCTGCTCCCCTCAGCAGTGTGTTTCAGTCCATCTGCCTGTTCTGCTCCCCACTCTGTCTCTGGTGAAGCCTCTCACCCCCGCACCTCTGGCCTGTACCCATGTTCTGTATGTATAAATAAATAAAACTAAAAAATAAATAAATAAAAATAAAACATGCATGGAAATGATAAACAGCACAGCCACCGCTCCAGAAACAGAGATAGGAACTGGGAGAAGTAACAAGAGGGTTTGAGTTGCATTTGCAGTATCAATTTCTTTACAAGTATGAAGACAATAATATGAAATGATAACAATGGGTAAACTGTGAGGATGGCTTTATTTTTTCATGATGTCATATGACTGGAACATGACATCAGGGATTCTGTTTTGTTAACTGTTGTATTTCTGGAGCCTGGAAAAGTGCTTGACACCTAGGAGGTTCTTGGTTGTTCACTGAGCAAAGGAATGAAAGATCTGTCATTCTGTTGATCTGAAATCATTCTTTTCAACTACAAATATTACAGTGCTGTGAAAATAAAATGATTTTAAATGTATGTGTTTCCTCATAGCAAAATAAAGTCAGAAAGTGGGGGGAAGATCAATATTGTGCTTTTTCATAGCACAGGTTTGTGAAATACATGGAAAGAGAAACTGCAAAGGAGGAGTTGGGAGAAGCAATTCAATATTTAAATGAAGCACTTAAGGGAAAAAATATGGGTTTTTAAAAACTGGGTGAAAGTGGGGGAACGTTTGGGATGATTCCCTTCTGGAATAACTAACCCTTGCGCTGTGAAATGTAGTGTTCTGGATTTGTGTGAAGGTAGATGAAGGACAGGTTAGGATCACCAGTCCTCCTTTGGGTAACCAAGCCAGAGGACATGTGCTCCCAGCGTCCACTAGTTGTGCCCTCTGGTCCAAACATCTTCCAGATCCCAGAGCAGGGCAGGGTCTGCCCAAGCCCGCCACACAGCAAAACACAGCAGTGACTCTCCTCACACATTCTCCGACGCCTGAGGCAGTCCCTCAGCTCAGAAAGGGCAAGATGAAATAATTATGGAGACAGCCTGCTTCCCGGTCTTTCTCACTTAAAGGCAACAGGAAATGGCAAACCACAACAGCATGCACCTGGGCCAGGCATGCAGGGAGACCAAGACAAACAAGTTGAAAAGTACCTCGGAAGTCACCTTGCAAGACAGTAACTTAGAGGTGTACTGGCAGAGAGGGAAAAGACCAGGGTTAGTGCACGGCAGACCCACTCACACTTCACCCCTGCTGGGAACCAGCCCCTCGGGGAGTGGCAGAGGGGGGTAACAGCAGGAAACCACTACACACCCACACACAAGACCGCTTCATCTGATATTTGTTTATTCAAAGGTTCATGTCTTTTGGAGCAAATAGACTGGCTACGATTCATGAATAAAAATATCAGAGAAGCCCATTCTTTGTTAATTCAAGATATGTTGCTTCCATTTTCTATGCTTTGAATTAACACCAGTCTCTCCTCCCTGTGTGTGACTGGCAGCCCACCAGCAAGGTCCTTGTGGGACATCTGGGATTTGCTAGAAGTTACAGCCAGTGGTAGTGAAATCCCACAGGATCTTTTCAACCCCAAAACAGTCTTACAGTGTATTATTTCATGAAAAAATGATCCTTCCCACAGACAGAAGCTGGTTTGAATGCCAGAGTCTCTGAAGCTGACCTAAGGCCAACAGGCCTCAGGAGGCCACACAAACTCTCTCATCCCAAATTTTGGGGACCTGATAAGTGCTTGGGAGCAGAGTGGTCATGGAGGAATGGAAATGACCCTTTCCTTCCTGTGGGTGACTAAAGTCTCTGCAAGGAAAACTCAGGGGACAACCATCTGGCTCTGGCAAATGAGGTGGACGGACTGAGTTTGGGTAACTCCTCCAGAACTGTGGTAAAGGTCTTACAGTTTTACACTGCTCAGAACCATGGGGGTGCTTACTGGTTTGGGGCATTGGTAACCATAGGCCAATACCCTTCCTTCGCAAGGCCACCCAGACAGCCTCTGGGAAACTATGATCCATCAGCCATTCTAAACTGCAGGACTGATCAGAGAAGGCATCAGGCCCAGATAAAGGGCCGTTTCCAAGTGAGACAACATTTCCAGATAAGAGAAACCACAGTGAGAGCAGGACTGCAGCTGGCTGTGCAGTGCATGATCAAGAACCATGGGGCGTGCACGCATGATCAAGAACCATGGGGCGTGCACGCCCGGGTCCCCAGTGAGGAAAAGGGTGCCTTTCTGGAATGCTCACTAAGGCCCTGTATGGGCTGGTTAACATAACAGTCCAGGATGTGGGGGAGGTGGGGTGGGGAGTAATACTCCTTACTCCAAAAAATTAGCTGAGGGGCCCACTGGTAGTTGGGGCCTGGCTGAAGCCTTAAGCATGAAGACAGGCATTAGTGACTGTGTCACGCAGAACAAGCCAGCCCAGGTGGCCCAGGACCATGGCTACTGAGGGGACACCCTGCTCCAGTTCTAAGCCAGACACCATGTGGCTGTTTGGGGCTCTTTTTGAAAAAAGGGGCTTTACCAGTTTCTTGTCACCAACTTCTTTTAACAACTGAAAATGAGCAGAAGAGGCACTGATGACTTCATGTCACCAACACAGACATGTGTTGTTTCCAAAGAAAGGTTCATGATTTATTTCTCCACCTCTTGTCAAGACCCTCGCTGCCTTGTTCCCAGCAGGAGAGAGGGACAGCTCAGGACCATGAGAAAGTCCACCAAATGCTGTTATACAGTGGAAAAACTGAAGGGCCCTGAGGGAGATCAGGACTCCAGAGTGCCTGGGGAACATTACCCCTGTTTTGATAAAGATGTTCTTTTCAGGTAGGTTGGCAAAAGTTACTCCTAAGAATGGCAGGCATGGTTTCTTCGGACTCCTCTCCTTCTTCTGCCCTTCACACATTAACATCTGTGTGTCTAACGTATCACCCCAGTTCCCCCATATTTTAAACTCTGCCATCTGTTTGAGAAGCACAGCAAATGAGAACTCTGCCTTTAAATTCCCAAAGAGCTTGCTACCCCAGGCAAACTCAGCCTGGGCGTGATCTGTGTGAGGGACACTTGGTGGAGACAAGAGACTTTTGGGAAGGAATAATACTGGCAGGTGGAGATGCTGGGGTGTCCTTGGAGCCACGTGAGTCATCTGAGCCTCTCAGGGTGGAGGATCCACATTCTGCCCCAGAATTGTGCATCTGAATGGAAGGACAAGGATCAGGGCCAGGGCCTCAGGGGGCTGGCTGTGGGCTCCAAAATGCAAACTCCAAGCAAATCCATCTGCCTTCTGTGGTTATGCGCCTGGTAAAAGGGGGAAAAAATGGAGAAGGGCCACTGATCAGGCAGGGGCCAAAAAAAAAAAGGGAAGTGCATTCTTACACAGACTTCCACTTAGTCAGTGATTGATGCAGATAAAAACAGGAAAGACCCCCTGAGTGAAAAGGGCTGAAGAGATGCAGGAGCAGACAGCTCTGGGCATGGACTTGCTATAGATGCAGCTGACTGGAGGTTTCTTTGCCTTTCAGAGTTGAGCCTCTTAAAAGAGGCTACAGCAGACTGAACAGCGATGTCCTGTTGCTAAGAATTTTCACTGACAACCATCTTGGCTCTCTGTAATATCATCCACAGTGCAACCCCCTTGGCCTTGAATTCAAGATCTGGGGATATGAACAGCTTGGTTATTTCTTTCTCATCTGAAATATTTATTTACTTGAGAAAAATGGAAAGGCTGCCGCTCCAATGCGTAAGTGAAGCGATCGGGACATGAAAACAGACTCCCAGTCACTCCCTTAATGGCAGGGGAAATCCGCCTGGCTGGCATTTGCTAGCTGGCTGCCAGACGTCGGGGTCTGCACACAGGCTCTGGCCTCTGTCCAGGGCATGGGTAAGAGCAGGCTCTTCTCTGCTGTGAGCAATTTTGCCGCTAGCACTTGCAGCTTGACTGGCAAGGCCCAAAAGAAGGCACGCAGAGTGTACAGAAAACTCCCCTAAACTCAGCCCAATGCGGGCATTGGTCCAGAAACTCTCCAGCCTGATAGTGGTCCAGGCAGTTGAGGTGCAAACTGGAAGGTGAGGTGGGGGGTGCCGTGGGGGTCACCAGGCAGCTGTAGGGGTGTAGCCTGTGTCCTTCCTGCATACTTTGAAAGCAATGTAGTTCCATGTCTGCTTTCAACTCCAAAGGCAGAAGGCAGGAAATGAGCGTGGGATGCCTGCTGTGAGCCCCACAGCATTCGAGGCTAAGGGGATCAAACAATGAATCGTGCAAATGGGGGTTCTCTGAAAAATGACTGGAGATGAACTTAATCACTACATCCGGACAACAAGCATAAAGCTGGAGTGTCCCGGGGAAGCTGGGCAGCACCTTCACGCTTCCCAAGCCCCAGGTGGAACAGTAATGTCATCAGGGACAACAGCCCTCAAGTCTCCTCTGGGGAAAGAAACCACAGAATAGATACAGCCCTGTGACGTGACTGTCACGTGCACAGTCCTCGGGGTCAAAGATAGCAGGGCAGCTGTGTAGTTTATGACCCTCATTTTGAAAAGGCTCCTTGCAGCCAAACTGAACACAAGGACTTGGTAATAGCCAAAGGCATTTAGCCTTTGGGGTACCATGTCACACTGAGAGCCCTAAAGGAATAGCATCTGTGCGTGCTCTAGAGAAGTAACATCTCTACCGAGCAGAGCAGGGGTAGAAATCAGCTCCCTGGCGTCTGGGAGGATTTCTCGATGCTTCTGTCCTTCTCTGTTGCCCGTGTTTTCCACACACCAACAGCATATGTGTCAGCCTCGCCAGGGGGCCCACACTTGGGGTGGCAGCCACAGGACCGCTTCCTGGCAGGATCTGGGACTTTAAGAATCAGGACGACAACCCAGCCTCTCTCCAAGCACAAGCACATTAAACCACACATCTGCAAATAGTTTTGGGGCCACGATGCCGGCCACACAACCACGTAACACCCATGACTCTGGGGACACCGGACACCCTTATTGGTGGGGAAAGAGGAAAGGAGGAAAAACTTACACTACTATCATCCATTCTCTCGCGCCTTTTAGATTTGTGGGTCTCATAGTCTTCCATGAGGGTCTGCATCAGATTCTTGGGCCGCTGGGATCCGGCAGCCTCTTCAGGGGTTAAGTCAGGCTGCAAGCTGGGGCCTTCAGGAGTGGGGGATGGAGGAGGTTTGACTTTCTCTATTTTCCCTGAAACAACACGAAGAGAACACCCTTTCTAAGCTCGTCTGCTTGTGACTGCTTTCTGAAAGAACAGAAAACTGGCAAGAAAAAAAAAAAAGGCAGAGACAATGGTCCTGGGGTGTTGGTTGAGTGCAGGTTATTTTATCACAGAGGTCAGAGCATTTACGGATAATGTCACAAACCATCCAACAAAGCGCTTGAGAAACCAGTGCTAAAAAGGCAGGTAGACCGAAGAGGCCTGTCAGACACTTTCAAACACTTCAGACAGACAGATAACACAGATATTGGGCCCAGCTGATTTGGGGATGTGCACCCCATCACAGAGCATAGGATCAGACTGCCAGAGGTGGTGGGGCCTCTGAGCCTTACAGACCCACTTCTCCCAGGCGAGTGAGCTGATGGCCACAACAGGCGGGCCGTGCATGGAGGTCTCCTGAGAGGGTTCTTTCCTCCAGGTCAGACGCACTGCACTGTCAACACTCACCCTCATCTGACGCTGGCCAGCTTCCGTTTTTACCTTACCTGTCAGGGTCCTGAAAGCTTTGGGGTTTGAGACCCCCAGACCTTAAGGAATGAAAGTCAGCAAGACAGTTTCCTAGCTGTAGAAAAACCTTTCCAGAGTGGAAAAGGTGAGGTTTTAGCATATGAAACGCTCTCTAGGAATAATTAGGATATGGAGACCAGGCCTGGAGCTACCTCATGCGGCCTGCCTCTGGCAAAATGCCTGATCCTGATGCTGGCCCCCAAAGGGGTGCCACAGAGTCCCCAATGTACCCTTGAGATGTGTCTTTGGGGCCCACAGCCACGGTTTTCCAACCATGCCTCTGTGGGAGACACAGTAGAAGCCCTCTGGGTTTCTAGAAGCCCAAGTTTAAACCCCCACACTTCCATAACTAGACATGTGGTGGCGATAATCACTGAATGTCCTCACTGTAACCTGGGGTTGGATGTTGAAGTTTTCTAAGTCAACTACCCAAGCTGTGAAAGAGTTTGGGAGACGCTGTCTTAGAGGCTCAAACATTTCGTTATTCTGTCAAATACATTTGGGAAGATCAACTCTTATTAAGACAGGTACTGGTCATCACACTTGGGGGATTAGGCTGGAAGTGGTTTTTAAAACACTATAGAGAAGTGGTCAATCTTTTAATGTGAAAGGTAGTTTCCACTTAGGTCTTCATATTCCCACAAAACCAAAACCTATCCCTGGAGTAGGCTGTACTGGTTATAACCACTAGAGGTCGCAAGAGCATCAGGAAAAAGGGCAGGCCTGGGACGCCAGGGAGCCTGAGAACGAGGCTTCAAATAATCAAGCCTAGGATAGAGCATCAACAGAAGCTGTTATAGGTCCCCAGATGAAGGGCACACTGTGCCCCCATTCCTGGCTTTGTGGCCACTAGTCTGACTGGTATCAGGGGAAGTCAGCTTGGTCAGGTTTCTACCTTCCCAGCAGGCTCAGAGCACACACAGCAGTTCCGTTGAAGGACACTTGCTGCTGAAAAGCTGGGGAGACTTGTTTCATACCCAAACATTCTCAGAAGGAGAATGTTTGCAGCCAATGGTTCTCTCAATCAGGATGTGAGAAAGTGTTCTTCCTACTGCAGACACCACCACCGTTTGCACCTCAAGGAGGCTTGTTTGAACATGATACAAATGCCTGTGCCCAGAAGCCTGCAAAGTTTATGTTCCTTGTCTGCTCCCCAGGAGGCCCCTCAAAGTCCCTTGGCTCTGAGAACAAACCCTGTTAGAATCCCAAGTGTGGCAGTGACCATGCATCTCGGCCAGCGCTTCCTGTACCCCATAATCCATCTACATTTGCCTCATCGAAGCTGGCTCCCATACAAGTGTATTCACCTGGTGAGTGACTGAATCACCGAAGAGACCTGAAAGGCTCCTCTCTATACAACAGCTCTCTTGATGGAGCCCAGACACTGTCTCTCGGAAGGTGTCATTTAGACCTGAGGCAGACCTGTCTTGGCCTTGACCAAAGGTCAGAACCTGACTCTGACAGGCAGGAAGTCAGAGCAACGTTGAGTCCTACAAATGACATGAGGAATCAGCAACTCAAAGCAAGATCAGAATTCTGAGTGGAGGGTAGAACGTCTTTCGAGTTTACTTCACCAACATTATTTTGTTCTACTGATTCCATCTGTAGTCCTTTTAGCCTTAAGCTTACAAACGTGTTTGAGGGTACACAGCTGGGATGATTCCAGAGCTGTGTCTCCCCATTACGCTAGCTTTGGAAGCTAGTTCTCAGCACTGCCAACAAAGTCACTGGTGAACTACATTTGAGAAATACTGGGTTAAAGAAATCTTTAAGAGAGAGAGAAGAGGAGAGAAAGAGAAATTTCCTCACCAGAGGCTTTCGCCAAGATTTGGGTATGACATGAGGCTGGAGAGAGATTTGAAGATATATATTGCTGGCTTTGAAGATGAAAGAAAGACCCACAAGTCAAGAATGCAGGCAGCCCCTGCCAGGAGGCAGGGAGGAAGTGGACTCTTCCCCTGGAGACTCCAGAAGGAATGCAGCTTTGCCAATACCTTGATTTTAGCTGACAAAAATACAATCTTGGTCAGCTTGAGCTGCCTTAACAGAACACCATGGGTTGGGTGGCACAAAAAAAAGAAATGAATTTTCTTACATTTCTGGAAGCAAGGAGTCAATGGGGTGGAGACTCAAGCTTGCAGATAACAGCCTTCTCCTGTGTCTACACAGCAGAGATCCAGCTCTCTAGTGTCTTTTCTTTCAAGCACACTCATCCCATCACAAGGCCCCTTCCTTCCCAACCACATGACATAACCCCAATTACTTCCATTTCCGAGTATCATCATCCCATGTGCGTTAGTGCTTGTGAATTTTGGGGAGACACACTTGGTCTAGAGCTGAGATGGTGCAGGCTTCTGACCTCTGCAACTGGAAGATCATAAACGTGTGTTGTTTTAAATCACTGTGTTTGTGACAAGTTGTCACCACAGCAATAGAAATCCACTAACCGCAATATAAACCCAACATTTATCCTCTGTGTATTGTGTGTGCATCAAGACACACATGCCGCTTGTGGTTAGAATTACGAGTCACCTATGTTTCTCTTTAGTCTTTTTCTCTACAATGAACACAAATTAATTCTAACATATAGAAGAACCAACCAGAAACATTTTGTGTTAAATATGATTAGCCATGTGAAGAAAAGCAGATAAATGTGCGTGCTTTAACCTTCAAGGATGGGGCAGGTCCAGCCTCTCCCTCTCACCAGGCAGCAGGTGGCATCCGGGGAGCTGAGGAGCCCATACAGCCTCCCCCACCGGGTCCTGTCTCCAACAGCCACACTCACCCAGAGGCGGTGGCACTGCCAGGCTGGCTAAGGAGCTAAGGGGGTGGCAACATTTTACTCCAAAATGCTGTCTGACATCAAGTGTGGAAGAGAAAAATAGGAAACGTGAATCTATGTCTCCTGCTTATTTATTATAAATAGTTAAACCAGGGACCTCCCTGGTGGCGCAAGGGTTATAAAGCGCAGCACTCTGAAGCTATCAGCAGCCACCCGAGTCAGGGGATGACCCACATAGCCCAGCAGACCTCTCCTGCCCCACCCGCTGCTCCCCTCAGCAGTGTATTTCAGTCCATCTGCCTGTTCTGCTCCCAGCTCTGTCTCTGGTGAAGCCTCTCCTACCCTGCACCTCTGCCCTGTATCCCAGTTCTTGTATACATACATCAATAAATCTTTAAAGAAGAAAAAAAAGTATTTGAGGTAGTATCTTTAGATAGATTAGATTAGATGGGTAGAGAAAGAGAGAGAGAGAGAGAGAGTTAAGCCTAAGCTATTCTGGTACGGAGAAAGAAAGTTCTGCCTTGGCTATACTTCCAGATTCCCTTAGACGGATTTCCCTTGGGCATCTGACAGGGAGGTGGGGGTGGAGAGAAGAATCACAATTCCTCCCACCCCAGGGAGCCCCAAAATGCAGCTGCTGCCTTCCCTCACTGCCCAAACCCTCCCCAAAACCTGGGGAACAGGTCTTTCAAAACAGCCAAGAGGATGCATTCCAAAAGCTTAGAAAATCATTTTGGTCAAACTTTTTGATTCTGGTAATGATTATATTCCATATACGTGGTGTTTCGATTCTTCAATCAAAGGTCCTTTGTTTCTACATTTCTCAAGAGGAAAGAAAAAGTCACTACCCATTCTCAGTAAAAAACCAAACTGAAGCAAAAAAAAAAAAAAAACCACCCACCGGATGACATGCCTGGGCCCAGGCCTCCTTCAATGGCCTCCTTTCTTGATGCAGCAAGGCGGCGGCGTTGCAAATGTCGAAAACGCCTCACAAGTCACCAGAAAGACATGAACTCATACTTGCATTTTCAATTTCACCTCCTCTGGCTAGAAGAGGATAATGGCCTGTCAGGCCCAGAGTGCATGGTCGCCAGCGGAGACCCACAGACTGAGAGCTGGTTCCTGGTCCTTTCAACTCCTCCTTTGAAGGCCCCAGGGGTGGCAGAATGCAAGGGTATGATATGCAGACTATAAACCTAGCTCAGAAATGAGAAGCCCTTCTGCCTGGCAAAACACAGCTGAGAAAGTTCCAAGTATTAATATTTAAAGGTAAGGTGGGGTAGCTGCTGGTCTCCGGTCATTTCCTAAGAGTGGAAGTGAAAGATGAAAATCTAGAAGAGCTCTGACTCTCTTGGAGAATCTAGCTGAAGACCCAAAGAGCAAAACTGTAATTTTTGAAAATATAATTCAAGTTAAATAGTGATTCTCCCATCAAGGTCTTTTGGTTCAACATATTAGTAGCAGCATGCTGGGCTTGGCTGGGTGAAGCTGACATCCTCCTCCAGCGCCACTTTCACCCCCAAAAGAGGTGGGGGGAGAGAGACCTGTGTTTATGGTAATACTTGTCAGCAAATACATTTTCCTAAAATTATGGCTGATGATTGCAAATGAATTCCTGAACTCAGATTTTGTAAGAGAAACTAATTCTAAGGAAATAATATGAAAAAAATATCCCAATTG